CAATTCTGGTGGCACTTCCTGTGGCTGCCTCTCACAGCTCTGTGTCTTCCTCGCGTCTGACAGGCATTTTCGTGTGGGTCCCTCGGCTCTTCCCTTTGGGCAGAGACCCTGCCTCTACCATCAGATAGGGACTTCCCACAGGCCAGGAGTTTATCACTCTGGGGGAAACCAGCACACCCCAGAAGTTGGGGGTACAACAGGGCTTTGCCCGTCCTTGGGGATGCCTGAGAATGAGAGACATCCGGCATGGGAGAGTAGGAAGATGGAGCCACTGCCGTGACCTTGGACAAGTCACCTAACTTCTTTGAGCTTCTCCTCCTGAACTTTAAAGTAAGATTAATTCCATCTTTGCAGGGACAGTGTACTGATGAGAGGAGATTATAAACACCAAAAGCGCCTCGGAAGCTGTCACATGCTGGGGAATATGAGTTACCTACTAATACCTGAGTCAGGAGGCCCAGTTGTGCCTCTGACTTGATGGACAATTTTGAGCCATCTGTATTCTCTCTCAAGTCTCCAGTGCCCTCCTACATGTCGCATGAAGGATCAGTCTAAATGATGTAGCAGAATCAATCTAAATGATGTCAAAAGTCCCTGCCGGCTCTGAACATCTGTGATTGACATTTGGATTTTTCCATTCCCTGGCAAGAACTCAGAGGTCTAAGAACCCACCCTGGCTGGCGCAGGCACGGTCCTTGAGACGGGCCCCGGGGCCTCCTCCACAGCCTAGTCCCACACCCCTCCCAGCCATCCCCTGTCCACTCCCAGCCCCTCCTACCCTAGCTTGGCTCTTTGTCCAGGAAACTAATTGCTGTGACTCCACTGTTTATTTGGAGACAATACAAGTCGATTGAAACTGCCGCATCAGGAAAAATATGTTCCACTTAGATCTTTAAATGAGCTCGGAGCTCGGAGCTGGCCTTTATAAGCCTGCTTGAGAGAGACGTCCACCCTCGTGCTCCACTGATCATTAGCCACTGTGGGCCATTTGCTTAATGAACAGCGTAGCTAGCAGCCAGGGGGTGGGGACAGCTGGACACACCTGCTGCCCACGGGCCAAAGTGGCCGGGGCAGCCTCACTGTGTCACCTTGTCTGCCCCCAGTCCTAGCTCAGCAGCTGGCCCTTCTGGTCAGAAAGAGCACTAGGGCAGCGCCGTCGCTGCCAATGGCCGTAATATAATGATGGCATGGCCACTGGTTCTGGGCTCTTCCTGTGTCCTCGGCCAGGCCTCGGCTGAGCACTCTGCACACATTACCAAGCTGAACATAACAGCCACCTTGAGATGCTGAGGCTGTGCCCCCTCCCCTACAGTCGAGGGAGCTGATGTAGGACCCACACCTCAGCGCTGAAGCTTGTGCTGTGAAACACAATGCCCAGTGCCTCTGGGAGGTCACGGAGAAGGGGCTCAGTGCAGGACTGAGGTACGGTAGAAAAGGACACTTCCCACAGAAGCAGGAGGCCACAGGAGCTCTTACCCCATGCCTCTGGGGAGCCCATTCCTCTTTCCTTCCCCCAGGGGGTTCTGCTCCAGTCCTGGGAGCAAGTTTTCTTCTTTTTCCTTCCCTTGCAACCCTCAATTTCCTGCCCTCCCCCACATCCATACTGGAGGATTGCAGAAGTCAGAGGGAGGTCTGCAACCCTTGAGACAGCACGGCCTCCTGCAAAGGGTGTTCCTTTGCCTTCTTGAATGTTTGTCTCCAGGGAGCAACAATCTCCCAAGATCAGAATGCTCTATGCCTTCCAGCTGTTCTGTTTGCAAGCAGAGGGAGCCCTGGGGAAACTGCTGTGCCCCCTCTCTCCCTCCCGCTTCTGTTCTTTATTTCTCTCTCCTCCTTCTGTGCCCTGGGAGATTTATTAGGCCAGCTGCAGCCCTGTGAGGAGTCCCCATCCCAGGTTAGAGCCCCTTGCCTTGGTTCTCCTCCAGTTTCCCCTACATCTTGTGTGAGATGCTGTGCCCTGGGCCTGGTGAGCAGGTACCTCAGGGTGGGGACCTCACCTTCCCTTCTCTTTGGTGAAAGCCCTCGGCCAGGCTGAGGTCTGTATCTGGAAGACAAGCCTTCACCTGCAGCCATAGCAGCGGGGCCAGAAAAAGCAAGGAGGGTCAACAATGGAGTAGATCAACTCATGGTTGGGGAGCACAGGTCAGGCATGGGCACCCCTGCTTCCTTGGCCCCCCACCTAGACCAGAAGGGCTGAGGGCATGGCACGCTGAACTCCCAGGGCCTGGTAAAAACAATCATTGAATGAATGAATGCAAGATAGCAGGCTATCATTAATTCAGCTACTATTCTTCCTTTTTTTTATTCATTTGCTCATTCACTGGTCTACTCTTGCCAGGAAATTTCTGGTCCAGATTCTTAATGCATAGTTACCTCTGGGGCCAGAACTAGGAGAGGACAAATAAGGTGCCTTAGGCACAAAATTTAAGGAATCACTCATTTCTTAGGATCATACAGGGGCATAGTTAGCCCAGCTCCGAAGAACAACCTTCCTGGTATGGATTGTAATCTCCATCGTATGGAGGAAGAATCAGAGGGAGGCTACCTCACATCCTCTGGCCCCCTGGCTGCTGCATATTTATTCCCAGATCTGTTTGACCCCAACATCTTCCTTCTTCTTCTGAACGGTCTCCAGTTTCCCTGCCTTGCCTGACCTCTGTCATAGCCACTTGCTGCTTCCTGTGTTTGTGCCCCTCTGTCCCACTACCAGCACCCTGAGTACAGATTGTAGGGTGTCCAGGGCATTGTTCCATTTCCGCTACTTGGAAGAGCATTGCTGAACAAGTTACTTTAATTCCCTGTGTCCGTGTCCCTATCTAGAAAAGGACCACCATAATCATCCCTATGACATGGGCTGGTGTGAGGCTTCTGGTGAAAGGGTATATAACGTGTACAGCTGCTTCCTAGTCATTCTTAGCTATTATTTTTAATAGCCTGTAGAGCCCGTCATCCCTTGGAGGTAAGAGGAGCCAGCAGTGAACCCCTAAGCCCCAGAGTTCAGGCCCTGCCTCCTATCAGACAGTGGTCCCTCTCCCCAGGTTCAGCAGCTCAAAGGGGTCACCTTACTCTCCTGGGACGAACAGTACACAGAAGCCATGGGGAGGTGGTCCCACAGCCCATCCCACCCAACGCCAGCTGCAGGCAAGGGATCAGCCTCCTGGCTCCTTTCACTTGAGCTCTCCTGGAATGCACAAGAGGTTTGGAAAGAAAAAGAATTCACACTTCACTGAAAATGTGTTTCAAACAATTAGCAGGTCTTCACTGCAGGAGTCTTTGAAGTAGATGCCCAGACCCATCTCTGTGAAGGATTTCCCAGAACTGACAGGCTGGCAGACACTGCTCAGCCCAGCCCTTGCCTGAGCATCAGGGGCTCCTGGCTGTGGGCTGGCATGGGCTGGCACCACAGGGCTCGCGTGAGCTCCCCCAGGCAGCAGCAGTGTCCTCCTCACCCACACAGTGAATCCGTGCTGCACACTGCCACAGGTGGTGCAGAAGAGCTGGCCTCTGGAGGACCTGTGTCAAGCCCAGCGTTTCCTGTTCTCCAAACCTCCTCACCCGACCAGGCTGGGTGGCAGAAGCTTCTGACTGTGAGCTCGGAACTCTTGCATCCTTGCACAGTGCGTGGCTCTGTGTAATATTGTCTGTTGGACAAATGGGGGGATTTCTGTAATGATGGTCATGACCTGGACTTAGCCTCGCTCTCTCGGTCTGTAAACTGGGAACGAGTGGGGTAGGGTCACCTCTAGGGCTCTGAACTAGACCTCACTTTTCTTTGAAGCATTCATCTTGCTGTGGAATGAAGGCTGGATCCTAATTGTGCTTCCCTTTGAGCAGAATGAGCTAGAGTGAGCCACTTGATCCTTCTGATTCTGCATCTGTGAAATGGGTAAACAAATATTTTGCAGGGCCATTGTGACGCTTATCCAAGGGGATGCCTAGAAAATGCTAAGCACATTAAGTGCTTAGGATTTACTGTGCGTCACACTGTGCTCTCTCTGACCTTATGCAGAGCTAAATCAGCCCACTGGCCATGGAAGGAAGGACCCATTATACAGCCCCCAACCCCACCCATCCTGGATGGGAGAGAGGACACAGAGAGCTGGCTAGGATGGAGCTGAAAAGAGCTGTCCCCAACCCCCTGCCCCAGGAAGCTCCCGCGCCCAGCCCAGGCCTCTAGACTTCTATTTGATTCCTTCCTCTGACATTCCATCCGTCATCATAATTGCTTCTCCCGAAAAATGAATTTGTAGTTGATTTCTTCAAAAGAGGGAATCAGCCAACAGATAAAAAGGTTGTTTTATTTAATTTACATGAAGAGGCCGCCTGCTGCTGCCCAGCTGTGCCGGCAGGGCTGTGGGGAGGGTGCCTGCATGTGGATCCAGTGTGCACAGGTGGGCACAGTGTGCTCCCTGGCTCAGGGTCATCTCCCAGGTTGCCTGCATCCCTATCCCATCATGGGATCTCGGGGCTGTACGGACCATTCTGTCGGAAAAGACTCTTCTGGGAAAGGTTAGCACTTTCAGCATAGGAGGCTGAGGCTCAAGAAGCCAAACACTTACAGAGACAGAAATTCAGCAGGGTAGGGATTGATCTGGCCAGGGACTTGCACACATGGTTCCTGCCAGCGAGTTTTCTAGGGAGGCTGTGTGAATATTTAAACTGCATGTGCTTTGGGGTCACATTGGGAGCCATGGGCTTCTCTCTGAAAGGCACCTCACCCAAGGGCGCTGCCTATCCTCTTCATCCCCAGCTAATGCTTCCCTAGACCAAAGTGTGGCTGCTGCTCCCCAGAACCTTCTAAGGTCGTGAGTGGGAGCTCTGTCTTGCAGAGAAACCCTGGGCAGGAGTTAACAGAGAGGGCAGAGTCACAGCTGGGGGCAGTAATGGGATTGTGCTGATGCAGAGACCCTTGCCCTCTGGGAGGCCCGTTACGTGCTGGGCAGGTCTGAGGAGGCAGGTCCCTAGTTTTCCTGGGGCAGCATGCAGCAGGACTTCCGGTGGTCTGAAACATCTGGAGAAGATTCCAAATATTTCATTCTGGCATTCAGATGCTCCAGCAATCCAGAGACTTGGCTGTAAAATAGGGCATTGTATAATTTACCTTTTGAACATGGACATTTGGAAGTGGATATGGGTTCTGTTCGTAATTATTCTGAGACAGCAGGTGTAAAGTACAATGGTCCCTAGTAAAGCAGGGCCTATTTTTACCCTAATTGCCTACCAGACGTAGCAGACACATAGACAGATAGGTTACCCTCACAGGAATTGCCCAAAAGAGCATGGGACATTTCTAGGAGTGCCACAGGACATGCCCAGGGCCACCAAGGCCAAAGAGTGGAGGTGGTGAAGCAGTTGGGGGGCTGCCTTCCATCCCCTGGGGCTGCTGCTTGGGCAAATCACGTGTACGTACCTCTCTGGGCCTCTGTTTCCTCTTCCTGAGTTGCCGAATGTGAAAGTCTTCTGTATTTATTACTTTCTATAATTGCCTTGCTCCTTTATTTGTTTATTTGCTTATTGCTTATGCCCTTGCCTATCATGTAAGTCCCTAAGGACAGAGGCCTTGTTTGTTTGTCTTACTTGGGGGAGGAGGCAACATATTCACTTTCTACTTAAGGGAGGCCACCCATGGCTTCCTTCCCTATCCTCTAGACCTAGGCCCTATCCTCCATCTCTATCCACGTTTTCTGCAGTCAAACGATTGTACTGAATTGTGTGTGCGTGTTTCTCTCCTGCTGGTCCATGCACTCTGAAGGCTGTGGACTAGGCCTTGTTTGTGGGTTTGTCTTTAACACACGGACCAGGGCTGGGTACCCAGTGTATGCTTGAGGGAAAGCTTCTTGAAGAATGTATCAGTGCTCAGCATGCATGTTGGCCATTAGGTTGGCAGCCTCACGGTGTCCCTTGGAGACCTCTGAGTGCAGCCTAGGCAGCATTTACCCAAAGGCCCTCCAGGCTGACTACAGAGGGTGTTTTCTTCCAACTGGGTTAGTTAATGGATGTAGTGGTTCCTGTGTTTTTATGAATTGATATGATACTTGACACTCATGAAAACCCCGAAGTGATCGATATTGGAATGGCTGTTTTCTCGAGAGCTAGTTTCTTTTCCTTTCTTCTTTTGAGTCTGACCTCTTTCTTCAACTGGATTGTCAATTCCACGAGGGCAAGAACATGGCCTCAGTCATCCCTGCTCTGCACCTCTACCCCCTTCTCCTGCCATGATATAGCTTGTCACTGGGGTCATTTTTCACCACCAACATTTCGGGTTCACTGAATCAAAATAAGCTCAGACTGGAACTCTGTGACTTTGAGATGGCCATCCTGTGAGGAGAAATAGTTCACATCTGTAACCAATTCTTCCACCATCAAACCTTGGGACCTCAAAACTGAACGCTTCTATTTCCCCAGCTGATGGTCTCCAAATGTCACTAAGCTCACCTGCTTATCCTACCCTGTGCTCCAAGGCTGGGGCTTCACTTGACTCCAGGGACAGTGAGTTCATCTTTTCATTTAATCTGTTCCGCCTCACTACGAGTCCTCCATCCTAATTCACAGCCTTGTCCCTCTGACTTTATCACCTGCCCCAATCTGAAGAGCCCTGTGTTCTAAATCTCCAGCTAAATCATCAAGAAAAGTGGTGAAGAGGAGAAGATTGCAAATACAGCCCATCACCCTCCTCAGCCTCACCGTCGATCACCTGGTGTGGGCACACGTAGATCGGTACACCCCCACCTGCCCTCATATCCAGCTCCCAACTGTTCGCCTTTCCTGCAAGACCATCATGAGAAACTTTGGCGAATGCTTTGCTAGAATCCAGAATTTCACCAAATTCTGCTGAGTTTACAGAATTTCCTGCATCTTCCCATCCCAGTGTCCTGTCAGAAAAGGAAATGAGATGTTCTGTTTGTTCGCTGCTCGCTCGTTCAACAGATATTTATTGGGCCCTGACCGGGTGATAGGCGCACTCCCCAGAGGACAAAGTATGCGTAGGTCCTGTCCTCATGGAGTTAACCTTCCAGTAGAGGAGAAGAACATAAGCTAGTCAGCATTCCTATGTTCAATGATGATAACCACCACAGAGAAAACTAGAGCTGGGCAGCTGGGGTGGACAGGGCTGTGTATTCCAGGGAGGTCGGGACAGCCTTCCACCACCAAACTGACCTTTCAGCAAAGCGCTAGTTCCTGGTGCACCCAGACCTTTGTAGCCGGTTGTTCCAGAACTGGACCTGAAATTTTTCTTTGGTTGTCCTCAAACAGCTTGGAATTTCCTGACTCCACATTTGAAAACTGGTCCCATCTCCTGTTTTCCAGCCCTTCCTAGCAACACCTGTCTCCTGGAACCCACGGATGAGCTCCCAGTGATAGCTTTGTGAGCCCTGCATTGGGATTTATGAACGTTGGGATTATAGAACAAGGGGCTCGTTCTAGCTGAGACCTAGCAAGGTGCATTCTTATACTTTTTTCCACCCATCTCGAGCTTCAGCCCCCTCCCATGAAGGTCTGCTTTAGTCCCTTCAAGTCTGAGGATGATTCTCTTTGTCAAAGAAGAGTTGAGAAGTTCTTCTTTGCATTATTTATCCCCCGTTGTGGCCAAAGTAGCCCTATTCCCCATCTCTGGAATCTGTTTGTAGTTTTCTTTTTTTTTCCCCCCTGAGACTCAAGCTTCCAGAAGAGCACGTTTAGGAAGGGAAAACAAGAAAAGTGCCTGGCAACAGCGTTTTCTTTTTAAATTTTCAGAAAGCAATCTGAGGGAGACGGGGTGGCAAGGCTTCGAGCACACCATCAATTTGGGGTTAATTGGTTTAGAATTCATTAACCACATTTTGCTGCCTGCTTCTGCCGGTCTTTGGAACGGTGCTTGAGTTTTCCGATTCTTTGCGTTGCCAAACTAATAATTCACCTACTTTATTTCTTGACTCGCAGTTAGTTTGTTTTAGTCTAAATAATGCATATTCAGCTTCATTAGCATATATTTGGATCATTTCCGACTCGAATGTACTCCATCCCATCAACTTACCATTAGTGAGATCATTCAGGAGGGACGTTTCCATATCTTTAATGCTTGTGTCAGTCATTGCCATCCTTACTGGGTGTGGGGGCTGGGCAGGGGAGAGGAGGTTGGGAGAAGGGAGGGAGATTGTTTTCCCCAGACACAGAGCTTTGGTGGGAACCCCAACATCCCAGGGTCAGAGGACCTCCTGCCTGAAAGGGTTTGACAAAGGAAATCCAAATGCGGTTGAGAGTCTGAATGCTAATGCTCACATCAGGAGATTAAGCAGGCCAGGGAAGGTGTAGCGGAATACACATCATCATTTACTCCTACGCTCATTTTCCACCCTGGTTTGGCCCCTGGGCAACGGGGAGGAAGGAGTTGGCAAAATCAGAAGAGCTGCCTCACTCCAAATCGGATGGGGAAGTTCAGACCCGAAAGGGCAGGTGTCAGACATGGAGGTGAAGGGAGACACGGACATCAGAAGGGGGAGTGAGGAGAGAAGATTCAGCGACAAGAGGACGGAGAGGAAACTACCACTGTTGCCAGGCTTAGAACTCAGAGGAATGAGGAATGTCTAAGAGTTCTTTAGCACGTTTTTGCTAGGCGCTGGGTGCAGAATCCCCAGCTCATTCTCCTTAGTAAGTAAGTGTCTGTCCTGTCCCACCTACCCAGCTCCTCAAAGACGGCCTGGGACAGACAGCAGAAGACTGGCCCCTGTGACTTCACTATTCAGGTCCTAACCTCTGAGGCACGCACAGCGTCCCTGTCCACCAGTAAGCACAGCCCAGGGGCGTCTAAACGTACGGATGAACAACTGCTCATTTCACGAGCATCATTTGAAGAGGTGGTGGAGGGGAGAGGCTCAAGTGAAGGTTCATCCTAACCCTGGGAGAAGCAGCGGCAGGAGTAGATGGCAGTGACATCCCTTCCACACACTCAGAACCTACCTGATGGATCCAAATAGTCAAGGAAATGAGGAAGCACATGACCTCCGTCTGACCTTCAGCCCTATGGCTTATCAACTACGCCTTGCTGTTGCCCCTGACCTTGGAAGTAACATTAGAAAGAAAGTATGTGAGACACACAGACGGCTCCTGCGGCCTCCAACCAGCCAAAGCAGCTAAAGCTGTAGTACCTTTTTGTCCATGATACAGCCACTCAGTTATGTGAGCAGATTCACAGGCTTACACCTAAAGCTGGGGAAACAAACAGTCGTGAGGAAAATACCGAGGTTTTGGGGAAAAAGAGCAAACCGACTCCCCATCCACGAGAACTTGTTTATTTCAGGAGATACAAACTGTTTGGGACCACGTAGCATGATTTGGTCCTCACTGTGCCTCTGCCGACATGAACACTTCCCTCCCCATCAGCACGCAGTCTGGGCAGCACACACAAGGTGCGCTCGCTGGTGGAAATACCGGTGAGAGCGACTCAGCCGGAACGTGTGTGAACTCGGTGCAGTCACCCATCCCCTGGCAGAGGGGAGGGGAGCAGCGGGGTGGAGGCCTGAAGCCACTAGGCTTCAGTGGCTTTGGCCCTCATGGGCTGCCAAACTATTTAGAAAGCAAAGGGTTCAACTTGCTCAGTGACAGACCGTGTTAGGATACGCTTTGTTCTCCATTCACACAGAAAAAGATCGCGCAGATAGAAACAGACAATGGAACAGACTGCGGAATGAAGGGGAAATGTGTTTCTACATATTGAATGCAATTGTAACAGAATGGGTTTACATTAAACCTGTCCTTTGACGCGTCTGGATATTAGTGTCAGCAGTGATTTGGGGATCTTTGTGACCTCATTCCTCCACCCTTCTCTTACTACAGAATCGAAGTAGACTTGAGAGCCAGGCCCTGGGCTAATGAGCAAACAGGCATAGTACCTGGCCTCAGGATGCTTTCAGGCAAGAGCTGGCCAGTCACAGGCTGTGACAGTGACCAAGTGTAGTCACTTCCTACCTTTTTCAAACATGTTCAGTATGAAAGGAAGAAGATAAGAGCTCATTTAGCAGGTGCAGTGGATGGGTGTGATGTGACAGCTTGGAAAACATGGTGAATCTTATTTTAGCCAAGAAATCTGTGCATGGAAGATGTGCCACTGGTTGTAAAGTGGTCCTCTTGGTTGCTGAGATCAGGATGGAACTGAAAAGCGTTGCGAATGCTGCCTCTATGATCTCTCAGTTCTGACCCCAGACAGGAAATAGACAGAACTCCTAATACTCCTGGTAGCAGTGAAAAAAGAAAGGCAAGGAAGGCCTCAACTGCTCCGGTGTCTTCTACACTTCCTTTCCAGCAGGACAAGAGGACCGGGACACATCCAAGTCCCCAGGGGCCAGAGCAGACTGGCTGTCACTTGCTTGAGAGTGGGACTGGCCAAGTTTCTAGAAACTGGGCACTAACCAAAACCCAAGGTGGGCACTCTACAAGTGGAAGTTCTATAGCTAATAAAAATGAAAATAAACATTATATTAAATCATATAGAAATTGAGGTCAATCAAATCGGAGTTAAGGCCAATCAGCAGACACCGGAATCGTTAGCACTGGAATCAACAGCCCTGCCCTGGAGAACAAAGGGAGAACTGAGAAGCCAGTAGATGTGTGGGATGTTGACCCCCATGATGCCCCATACAGAGAACAAGTCTGCCAAGGGAGGGGAGGGCTGATAAATCCAAGCATCGAGGTCAGAGAAGGGTCCTGTCTCAAGGGACTGGCCAGGATGCAGAGGGAGGAGTGGGCAGGCAGAAGGGTTGATGCAGAGCAGTCTTTCAAGCCAGACCAAATAAGACAAAAGCACGATGGACGGTCCACTTCTGAGAAATGGAGCTGACAAGATTGGGGTCAGAAAGTCAGCCCTGGCCAGCCAGATGGAGCATAGACAGGGCTCCTTGCCAGATGCCAAAGCCCCAGCATCTGAGACCCAGACAGAAGGGGATGCACACACATTCTGTGGGAGAGGGAGGGAGGATCTCTCCTCTGGTCTTGAGCCAAATTGGGAAGATGGACTCTCCTCCAGATGTCTCAACTCTCAGGCAATATGGCAAAGCCAAATGTTCTGCTACCCAGGCAAGGACAATCATTTACTGAGTGCCACCATTGTTCTGGGCACTCAGGACAGAGTGGAGAATAAACCAGTCATTGTGAGACTGAGGTGTAGGTAGCTCAGTGGCAGAGTGCTTGCGTAGTATGCACAAGGTCCTGGGTTCAGTCCCTAGCGCTGCAAATAAAAACAGAAAACAATCATTGTGCACGCCCTTATGGAATTTGCAATCTTTTAAGACAGATGGACAATAAACAAGTAAATAGATCCATGTACAATTACAAAATTGTAATTTTGCAGGGACGCAAACAGAATTCATGATGAAGAATAGCAGAATGAAGAATCTCAGAAAAAGTGAGCAGACCAGGTTCTTTGTGAAGGCTGAGGCTGAGGCTGGAGGGAGGGGGACCCACCCAGCCACATCTTTCTGGGGACACTAGAGCTGACCTGAAGCTCTGGCAGCAGAGAGGCAGGCAGATGTTTCCCTTTTGAATCACTCTTACTCCTTCCTGAGTTTCTCTGTTTATCTTGCGGTTGTTGAGAGTCATCTCAGATCTGCTATTATTTAGTTTGGCAAATTTACTTTATAGAGAAGGAACATGACGGTACTCATGATAAATATTTGCCGTCCCCAAAGTCCCCAAAGGAAGACCCTGCTAACACTGGCTCCATAAGCCACCTTGGACGACGGGAATGGGCTGTGCACATCGAGGCAGTGTTAGAGATAAAGGGTCAGTAGGCCTCTCGGGGGTATACACTGAGCTGTCCCTGCCACACGAAGAGCTGTTTCTGCTGTCACATGGTTGGCTGAGCTCATGCAGCGACAGAAGGGGAAATATGATGACTGCAATAGTTGAAGATAGAAGATTGTGTGTACCTGAAGCTCTGAAGAAGGTCCACACGCCTATCACCAAATTCCAAAAGCTTGAACTGGAAGACTCTCTAGACAACCAGTCTCCAAGAGAGCTCACAGTGGTCCTTGTCTCCTTATGTTTTCTTCTCACACAATGTGTCAGAGTTTTCCTGTGTGGCCAATAAAATCTGATGGGGCTCATGTACTGTGACTCTTCATGTTTTGTCACAAGGAGCTGACATCTCTCTTTTCTTTGCTCTTTTGATCACTCATTCATGGGAAGTCCTATCAGAAGGACATGTAAGCAACTCTAGCAAGGTCTATGTGGTAAAGAACTGAGACCTCCTGCCAGCAGCCAGCGCCAGTGAGTCAACCATGAGAGCCCACCATCTTGGAAGTGGGTTCTCCAGCCCCATCCAAGCTTTCCAAACCATGGGGCTGAGGCTTACTTCTAGACTACGACTTTCACAAGACCCTGAGCCTCAGTCATCCAACTAAGTTGCATCCAAGTTACTGAATTATATAAAGAAACCATGTGAGATATTTATTTTTCTCTTTAAGTCACCAAGTTTTGGGATAATTTTTTACGCAACAGTAGATAACTAATTCCTAATTCACAATCCCTTAAATTCCAAAAGAGGGGACTCAAAGACGGTGCTTCCTAAACTTTATTTCTTGGGTCCCTGGTCTCAGGACATGTTCACTAACCAACAGAATTTAAGGATCATTAGAATAAAGAAAGGATCCCCTAAACCCAAATAACTATGGGTATCCCTTTATGCCTAACATGTCCAGGAATTAATGTTCAATAGGACATGGTTTGGAAAGCAATGTTTTAGGATAAATGGAACCTTTGATTTTTACCAGGGTACAATCATTTTGCATGCTTGGTACTCCCAGGGTCTATTTAAATTTATTCATTTGTCCATCATTTCATCCATGCATTCATTTAGCAATATTCACAGATATCTCTCGGCTGCAACCATGCTGACATCCCGTGGGTTTGACAGAATGGTGAGAGTGTGGAGTTGGATGTCATAATGCCTGCATCTAAAGCTCAGCCTCAATCCTTTACAAGCTGGTTGATCTAGGGCAAGTTTTGTAGCTAAGTCTATTTTTTATGTATAAGTTTATTTTATCTATGCCATAGGGATGATCTTAGAGTTAAGTGATACAATACACTTGTATGTGTAACACTGATTAAGTGCCTGCCATTGGTACGTTTCTGCTACACAGCTTTCCATCGCTGAGACAAAATGTACACAACGATCAGCTTACAAAGAGGAAAGGTTTGTTCTGGCTCACAGTTTTGGAGGTTTCCATATGTATTCTTTTGGCCCATGGCTTTGGGGACCATAGCAAAGCAGTATATCATGGTTGGAGCCTGTGGCGGAGGAAATCACTCACCTCATGGTAGCCAGGAAGCAAAGAAAAAGGGAAGACGGAGATCCCAACATCCCCTTCAAAGGTACGGCCCTGCGACCTAACTTCCTTCCTCTGGGCCCCATCTGCTGACGATTCCTCTGCCACTGAGGCTGAGGACAAAGCCTTTGGGAGACATTTCAGGTACAAAGTGCAGTAATAGCCACCAA